TGTGAAAGCCCGCAGGTGATGGAGATTTACCGCTGATTACAGAACCGGCTTTCTGACAAGATGCGCGTTAAATATCGCATGCGATTAATCGTGCAGCCCTACTAAGAACTTCATTTGGACAACCTTAAAGGCGATTTTCTCAGTATTTTGAATTTTTTTGCACCCTCAGATTCCAGATTTTCAAATAGTTGTGTATCAGCCAAATATTGTCCTATCCCATACATCAATGGAAAGCTTATTTATTCAGCTTTCATGTGATATATAAATCTCAATTTAAAAAATTGACCCTTCTGACTGGTTTTGTGATCCAGGGTCACATATATTCTCCATGACCATATTCTACATCCCTAATCCTGCCCAATACCTAAACTTAACTACCTTACTAACTATTAATAAGCAGCAAATTAGGAGATTGAGGCAAAAAGGCCTGACTTCTCCAATCATTTTGTCTGCATAAGCCCTTTCTTTTAATCAACTGCAAGCTTGCATGAAAACTTCCTGTTGTGGATCCTTACAGAATTTAAACCATTCGCAATTAATGAATTCATCCAATGATTGTTTCCCAGGTATCGTTGAGGACTATCAGCTGCCGTATTATGAGATGGTGCCATCAGATCCGTCTTATGCGGATATGCTTGAGGTTGTGTGCGTCAAAGGACTGCGGCCCACTGTATCCAACAGATGGAACAGTGATGAGGTGAGTCATCCAGCAGATGGCAGCATATTGACAGATTATATTTGCAGAATGTTTACAGATTTAGTTACTCTTTGTAGAGTTAATAAATATGTGCAGAAGAGAAATGTAGTTCATGATCTAATAAGAGTTTGGCTTCCCAGTGTTTGAGGGCCATGTTAAAGCTGATGTCAGAATGCTGGGCCCACAATCCCGCATCGCGCCTGACCATCCTACGAGTCAAGAAGACTTTAGCAAAAATGGTGGAATCTCAAGACATTAAAATCTAAGTGGTTTTTATTTCGTCTTTGACATCATTGTCCCCTTCACAGAGGAGGAGGAGAGTAGGTGATGGTGACATCTAACACAACTATGAAATATAGCAAGCTCTCTTTCTCTGCTGGATCAGACAATGGTGCCTTTGCTGCTTTCTGTGAAAGCTGTATCATTGCAAACTGGGATCAGAGGATTACTGCAACAGACTGAAACAGTAAAGTGGGAAAGATTGACATAAACCCCACTGCCTTAAAATACACTCAAGTTATTCTGCATATGTTTCTGTAGATTCTGGGATAAATTTCCTGCCATATGGATGAAATGCTGTTGACTTCTCATGGAATCTGTGTAAAGCATACTGTGATTTAATGTATGATGTGTAATATATTATAGTAATAGATGAACTGACAACAGAGCGAAAAAATATGCTATCAATATAATCTCGTCCAGTTAAAAGCTGTTGTAAACTATCTGATGTGTGGCATTTAAAAATCATAATTTAACTATACAGAAGTTCTTCTCTTATCCCCCACAGAAGCTTAAAGGTAACGAGATATGCATGCTGCATTTTCAGTAGATGTGGTTTAATTTGTCAAAATGGTTGTTGCCTAAACCATATATTGTTTGCGTTTTTAAAGCATGCTGTTTTTAACATCCTCAAAATAGAAAACATTCCCAGTGTGCAAGCCTTTGACCATATAGTTTCATAAAGTGAACCAGCTGCCGATACATCTCATTTTAATTAGGAAAGAAAACTCTTCATACTGACAGGTCGAGTGGATCTTACTGAACCGCATGCGGTCAGTATGAACACCCCTTCAAAGTTGCCAAACTACTGTGTTTGTAGTGTTTGTTGATACATTCCTGAGTTCACTTTATTTAGAGATGCTGGGTGCAGGTTTTTTGGTACGGATTACTATGAATGTGACTTTCGAGGATTTGGTGATATTCTGACCATATGTCCTTGCCAATATTATGAATCTTGTGTTTGAACTGTGTTTATGTTTGTGAGGAGGCTGAAGGTGAAGGGTACGACTGTAACATCTGTTAGTCATCAGTGCTTTATATTTCAGTAAGGGCTTCCAAAATACGGTCTTGGTAACTGGTACGATCCAAAACACACATTGTTGCATGGCATGTTTACAGAACTCCCATGCAGATTGAATTTTTTTATTCTTTAGAAAATGCAGTGTTGTGTTCTAGAATACTTTTTTTTTTTTTTTCTTCTCAGTGCCATTGAAAAAACCAATGTGATTTGTAATAGTAACAGAACAATTCACAATAGTTCTTTCCACCACTATCTGGACCCTTAAAGACAGGATGTGTGAATATACTATGTGCCAGACTAAGGTGCTTTGTACTTTCAGAACAGCCGGGAAATGCCAAAAGGGCATCTTGATTAAAACAATATGTCAAGGTTACTGACATGCTTACAAAAGGATTTAAAATGTTCTGAAAATAAATAATAGATCTATTAAAGGAAACATTATCTCACTTCAGAGTGGATAACTTCAGCATACAGTACAGTACGCTAGATAAACACTAGATTTGGTGTATATGAAAATACATTTGTATACATTTGTTGCTCTTACTACTATACAAGAAGTATGAAAATTGAATCATCTATATCAAATGCTTTTCTGTGGCTAAAAGAGATTTTAAAACGTTAAGTTAGCTTTTGATTGCATTAAAGAAAGTCGAATCATGGCTATTCTAGAAGAATCTCATCTTTTTCTTTTCAATAATTTTGTCTGAATTTTCCCAAATGCTGAATTTTGCATCCATCCCCTAAGGCTTCTGTACTTGATCCAAAAACTGAGAATGCACCTCCTCACTGTAATCTGAGTTAAGTATGTTGAAAGGGTGTTTTTCCCTTACTGTATATATGCCTGTAGATATTTCAGTGTGCTTTACCATAGTATCACCCCAGCCCATCGCTATGTAATATATTAAACAACCTGTCTAATTTGGAAACGTTTTTTGTTTTATTCAGCCCCATGTTGAAAGGGTGCCTTAAGATTAGTCCTCAAACTCTGTATAATATTTGTCCATGTAATCTTTTAAAAATATAATTTTAGTACACATTTTTTTTCTGTGGGTTTTGTTTGTTTTTTTGTATGAACTGAAAAAGTAAAATATCTTGACATCTATTTTAGGGCTTATAAAGAATATCGTAGTTGTCACACTAGACCCAAATGTAAATTTCGTAATTGCTATCTGTTATTTTAGTCTGTCAAATCCTGAATGAGAAATTTAAGTGGCGAGCAGTGCAAAAAAAAAAAAAGCATATTTTTGCCATCATGCAGTCCTTTTGCACCTTTAGTTAGTCGCATGTTCTCAGGTGGTCTGCCGCATTAGTAGACCCGCAAACGTGTTATCTTGTGGGTTGTTGCGCTCTATAGTTCCCTGCACCAGCTCTAGACGGAGTTCCTCTCCTTGCTCCATCTGCAGGATGCAGAGACGTGTTGCAGGTGCACCCAACTTCCTCTGGTTCTGCCGTAAGGAGGCAGCTACCTCTCCACCTCTCTTTAATTGAGCCAGAGATGGGCCTGGTCCAAAGTCCAGTGTTACCACAAAGAGGTAAGCACCAGAAGTAGGAGCACGAAATATGCCTGTTTCTGGCGAGTATAACTGTCCATGATTTAGGGTCACGCTTTCAAAATGTACCGTACAAGATCCGTTAGCACCTTCTGTAGTGCTGGCCAGGAACATAATTGGACTATCTGGGAGCTGACGAAGCACTGAAATCAAATGATAATGAAAAGGCATTAAAATATGAATGCTGTGAGAAAAAAAAATGAGACATGATAATGCAATTACAATTGACTCTCACTGGGGGTGCTCTTGTCACAAATGTCAACTAACATTTACTCTAGGTTCAATGTGAAAAACATTTTACATGCTTAATGTAGCATGTTAAATAATTACATTATCTACATTATTTCTGTCTAGAAATTGTTATATTTAGTTATTTATGGCAAGGGTCTCTGAAGCACGGAAACCTGCACATGACATAAGGAGGATGAAAATTTTGTTCCCACAACCTATTAATTCATGGTCATGTTTTAATTAATTAATTCCCTCATTTTAGTTGAATTATTGCCATATTGTACTAATTTGTTTCCTCATTTTAATTTCAATCATGGCCACAATTTAACTAAAACAAAGTTGTGGGAATTCTTAATTTTTGGCCATAATTCATGTAATGTACAAGGCTCTGTAACTATAAAACAACAGAATATTAAAATAATTTTGATGTGGCAGTTCTTTAATAGAGAAAGCCCTGTAAGTTACATTTGCAGTGGGGAAAACTGAGGATGAGTTCACAATGTAAATCGATAAAAAAAGAGGTATATTATTAAGAGTGTGAATACTTTTGCAAGGTACTATATGTTTAATTATCTCCTTACCTGCGGACTCCAGTGATGCATCCCTTTTGATGCGGTAATTCACTCGTTCTCCTGTCTGAACAGCTCTGTTATCTGCTCTCTTCCTTTGTTTCCTGTTTTGCTGTTTTGCTTCCTTTCTCTTCATCAAAGCTGACAGTTTATTCAAATCTACAGATATCTCAGAGCCAGTAAGTCCCTCTGTATTACTGAAAATGCTGTTGAAAACTCCAAGGTGGGTCTCAAGGTCCTTACGCAAAGTATCCACCTCGGACTGCAGTTTCACCTCCACACCACCAGTGGCAGCAGTTTTAGTGCAGTTGCAGCAAGAAGGACAACGATGTTCCTCAAGCTGTTTAATGTCAGCTCCAAGTTCCTTCACCATTTTCTCTAAAGTCCAGAAGTCATTATCAGAGTACTCTGGCAGCTCCTCGGACAGGTCAAACCTTTCATCCCCACGTCTCCTTTTGATGCCCACCGAGGCCCAGTCTGAAAGCACTGAGGGCTCATCTGCTGCCGTCACCTGATGGGCAGCAGAGTTCAGCATTGAGGCCAAGCTGCGACTGTGTCCATTGATCTGCTCTTGCATATCTCTGATGCTTTCCCTCAATTCTGGTATAGAGAAACGTCTTTTTTCCTCAGGAGACCATGCCATGAACTCCAACACCTCTTCCCCAAGCAAAATCTCCAGTACCTCCGAATGACGAATGGCATCCTGAAGCAAGGTGTTGAAAATGCTATGTAGTTGCTGGATCTTCTCGACCTTGGCCCTATCATGCTCTTGGAGTGTTTCGATGTCCTGCTGGCTGCCCAGTAGAGAGGCCTGGAGTTGCATCACATTGTGCTGTAACATTCTGCTCTTTTCCTGTTCAAAAGCAAGAGACTTTTGCACATTTAGTAGCCCTAGTTTCAGATCTTCCACGGTTGGAATCCAAGACAGACTGTCTAACATCTCCTGAGCCTCACGCTCATGGGCCAGCTTATTTTCATTCGCTATCTCTTTCACATTAGCTACAGTTTCTTCCAACTGGGTCACCGATGCTCCAAGCGCGATACAGTCACAATCCCCACTTGCCGAACTTATATTCTTGTAATACTCTGTATAGAGATAGTCGACATCAGTCTCCATCTCCTGCAGGGTGCTTTGGAGAACACTGATGTTGCTGTTTAGCTCATTAATGCGGTCAAGAACTGCTACCTTGGCTGCCTCCACCTCTAAACCGGTCTCCATAAACTGAACCTGGCTATTGAGGCCAGTCTGGACTATTTTCTTGTCCAGATCTCTCCAACCATTCTGGAGGTCCTTAATGTTTGCAGTCACTTGTTCATGGCCTTCAATCAAGCCACTAAGTCTCACTGTGTTGTTGATGACTTTGTTGTCCAGACGTGTGATGGCCTCCCAAACAGCTGTGCTCTCATAAGACTGACTCTGTGCAGGATCGGTCTTCTTTTCAGGCCAAATCTTCTGAAGTTCCTCATCCAGCCTCTCCTGCTCCTGCCGCACTTCAGACATTGACGTGTTCAGGGAGTGGAGATTCACCTAGAGCAAGACACACATTCAGTACAATAGTTCTGCACATATAAATGTGTCTTGAGGTTGAGTAAAAACTCTGACCTGTAACATCTTTTGGTTACGTTTGAGTTTGACATCTATGTCTGTCTTGAAATTCGTCAGGTTGTAGTGCAGCATGGTTTGCTGCAAGTGGAGCCTCGCTTCTACCTCATCGCGGTGGTTGTGAAACTGAGCTTTCACTTCCTCCAACTTCTGTAAACTCTCCCTCAACTCTGCCTCAACAGCCTCCTGTGGATTGTGCTCCTCACCACCAACCTCCAGAGGCTCAGTGACCCTCCCCTGCCCCTGTTCATGTCGGAGTTGGGCCATGTCCCGCTGCAATCCCTGCACCTCCTGAGAAAGCCGTTCCAGGGTTAGATTGAAACTGTCCAACACAGGTTGCAGCTGAGACATCACAGCCTCTTTCAAGATTGGTAGGAGCCCGTGATGAAGGTAAGGAGTTTCAGGTTGAGGAACACCTTCATTTACAGCATAAGGATCTGGAAAAATAGAAAGACATTGTGACGAAGCAAAGACACGTGAACTTTCATTTGGCCTTGTTTAGTGAAAATCTTAAAATAGATATGTTCTTATTGGTCATCAGTTTCTATGAACATTCTAAGCAACTTACAAAGAGGGGAATGCCAGCAACAATAATGTTTTGGAGAATAACCACATTGCCAAAATAGAAATTTGATTCTATTGTCATTCTTAGATAATAATTTTCCCTGTGGTGCTGTTTGTCCTGTTTGACATTTTGTGCTGCTCATGAGGAAACATCAAAAATATGTCCATTTCCATTTCAGCCTGGGTCATTCAACCAAACTTTGAACCTTTTAACTGACCCGTCAACAGCCCACGGTCTTTCACATCCCCTGCATTGTAAGAAACTATGTGTGTGGTATGTTTTGTTAGGGTTTTGTGCACAAGTTTTAGTTAAGAGTTTGAAGCAAGAAGAGATCTGTACATGTACAAGTTCCCTGCTGGGAAGCTGAATATAGTGGTCATGTGCTGTTTCTTATCCTTTTTAATCCTCTGGAACAGCTTCAGAATTTATGCTCCTGCTGTTTTTATTCCTGTGTTGTAAAATCGAACATATATGATTGAGTCAACTTTTATTACCCTGACAACATTATTACTAGTTGAACCACACTTCACACAGACACAAAAGCTCTGCCTACCCAGAACATCAGGGTAACTAGAAGAAAATTCTCCATTCAGACTTCAAAGTTTTTTCTTTCTTTTGTCTTATTCTGTGAGAGAATGCAC